GGCTAAGAACACGCTTATCTCCCTGAGCCTGGCCTTCATAAGTCCATTCCATCACAGCAATATACCTTCTCTGCCTGACCGGGTGGGACAGGTCGATGTAATAGAGACGAGATGGTCCCTCGGATAACCTGGTCCCATGCCATGTAGGGCTTTAAAGGTAATGACCAACACCTTGAATTGGATCCGAAAGCAAACTGGCACCCAATGCAACTCCTGGAGCAAAGGTGTTACATGTGCCATCCTTGGGGCACCCAAAATTGCCCATGCAGCCGCATTCTGAACCAGCTGTAGCTTCTGGATACTCTTCAAGGGTAGTCCCATGTAGGGCGTATTGCAGTAGTCTATAAGGGAGATGATTAGGGCATGAGTGACTAAGCGGAGGGCTTCCTGATCCAGGAAGGGGCGTAACTGGCATGCAACATGAAGTTGAGTAAAGGCCCTCCTAGCCACGACTGCCACCTGCTCCTTGAGCAGCAGTCGTAAGTCCAGGAGGACCCTGAGATTCCACACCAGGTCTGTCTGGGGTAGTGCAACCCCATCCAGAACCAAAGATGGTAAACTTCAGGATACAGAGAAGCCCCCAACCCACAGCCAGTCCGTCTTACCAGGGTTCAGCTGAAGCCTGTTGTTCCCCATCCAGATCCCCACGGCCTCCAGGCACTGCGAAAGGGTAGTCACAGCATCACTTAAATCATCCAGGATGGAGATGTATAATTAGATATCATCTGCGTATTGATGATACTTCATCCTATGGTGGCAGATGATCTCACTCAGTGGTTTCATGTAGATGTTAAAGAGGAATGGAAAGTGTACCAAATCCTACGGCACCCCACAAAGGGGGGGGCTGCGGGCTGGACTTCTCATTCCCTATCAACACCAGTTGGGACTGGCCTTGGAGGAAAGAGGTGAACCAGCACAAAATTGTGCCGCCCACCCCAACTCCCCAGGCTGACACAAAAGGATACCATGGTTGATGGTATCAAAAGCCACTGAGAAGTCAAAAAGAACAAGGATGGATGCACTACCCCCATCCCACTCCCGCCAGAGATCATCCAAAAGTGCAACCAATGCTGTTTCTCTCCCATATTCAGGCCTGAAACCTGAATGAAAAGGATCCAGATAATCCATTTCATCCAGGATCCTCTGGAGGTGCAACGCCACCACTTTCTCAATCACTTTCCCTAGAAAGCGGCAGTGGGAGACTGGACTAAAATTGTTCAGTACGATGGGATCCAGTGATGGTTTCTTGAGGAGGGGGTGCACCAGCACCTCTTTGAAGGCAGCTGGAAACATTCCCTTCCTCAAGGATGAATTCACTATTGCCTGGACCCACCCATACATCACCTCCTGAGCTGTCTTAACCAGCCAGGAGGGACATGGATCTAATTGACATGTGGTGGCATTTACAGTCTGGAAGATCTTGTCCACTTCCTCAGGCCCAACAGGATCAAACTGTTCCCAGATAACAGGGTAAGTACATTTCCCAGGCATCTCCACATGCCATACCACACACTTGGTATCCAGTTGGGAATGGATCCAAGTGATTTTATCCTCCAGATGCCCTGAAAACTCCTCTGCACAGCCCTGCAGGTAGGTCACTGGGCCCACCTTTCCCAAAAGGGATTGAGTGATCTTAAACAGGACTGCTGGGCAGCGTTCTGTGGATGCGATAAGAGTGGAGAAATATTGACGTTTCACCGCTCTTACCATCACATGGTAGGCCTCAATAGAGGCTCTAGCTTGTGTTTGGTCAGGTTTGGTCCTTATTTTCCTCCAGACATCTAGACATCTCTTAATCCTTTTCAGGACCCTCAACTCCTCTGTAAACCACAGGGAGTATCGGGTTTGATGGGTCAAGAGAGGTCACACAGGCACGATCTTGTCCAAGGCCTTGGTGGCCTCCCTATTCCTGGTGGCGGCCAGGGACTCCGCTGGACTGTGCAGCAAATCCTTGGGTATAACCCATTAGTTCCATCAGTCGGTGGGGACAGACCAATCGAACGGGTCCTGCCTTCCTGTGGAGGGGGGTAGCATAGGAGAATCTCAAGGCCACCAGGGTGTTTTCTGACTATGACAAGGGGTACAGATTTAACTCCCTCTTCAGATCACATGATCTAATGATAGAGCAATTCAAACTCATCGCTCCACTGGCTTTCAGATGCAGGGAATCTCATGCTGGCATAGATTCACAGAGTTCCATTTATCCTGCTGATCAAATTTCATTAATGGCAAATTTCATGGTTAGAAAACTACTGCTGGGGTTTTCCTAGTATTTCTGATAATAGTAGCCATAAGGCTTTTAGACCAGATGCAAAAATTAAA